TGATATAAGGTCAATGAAATTGTCCACCCCCTCCCCCCTGTACACAAACACATAATGAGATGTAGAACTCAAATTGGAATGTTGGAACAAAAAGAAGAATTAGGCTCATATCTGTAATCCCAAAATTTGGGAGGCTGAGGCAGGAGGATCCTTGCGAGTTCGAGACCAGCCTGGGCTACAAAGTGAGCTCAAGGTCAACCTGGACTGCATAGGCAGACCCCTGTCTCCAAAAAAAAAAAAAAAAAAAAAAAAAAAAAAGACATTCAACAAGGAATAGAAGAAAAGCTAACACAAAAACACAGATAGGAGAAAAAAATCAAGAAATCTTCATGTAAATCAGTAGAAATCTACATGAAAGATTCTGTATACCCCAGGGACATATTGTATCTCGCTTATTTGTAGATCTCTAACCTTTGGCCTAGTAAAAATGCAATAATGCTTAAATAGATCAAATATAGGAGAAAAAAAGAAAATCATTCATCTATTTTGGGAGGCAGACACCTAATAGAAAACACTACTAAAAAGAGAGGGGCTTCTACAGTGGTCAAATGTAACTTTAAAAATAGAGAATGAACTGGTCCCAGTGGTGCACGCCTGTAACCCTGATTTTTGGGAGGCTGAGGCAGGAGGATTACAAATTGTATCAAAACCTGGGAAATTTAGCAAGACCTTGTCTCAATATAAAATATTTTAAAATTGGGCTAGGCTGGGCTGAGGATTTAGCTCAGTGTCATAAGTGCCTGCCTTGTAAGCATGCAGTCATGACTTCAATCCCTGGTACAAATAAAAGATAAATAAATAAATAAATTGGGCCAGGGATTTAGCTTAGCAGCATAAACCTGCCTGGCAAATTCGAGGTTGTGAGTTCGATCCCCAGTACAAAAAAAATTTAAAAATTGGTAGTTGAACAGCCACCATAAAAGGAGGCATATTTCACTAGGGGAGTGCTCGCCTAGTATGCTGGAGGCTCTTAGTATCTTGAAAACAAAATGAAGAAAATGAAATAAAAACAACAACATGGTGGAGGGATATGAAAAGCGAAGCTATGGTAGAGAAAAAAGTGAAATATTATTCTTGAGAGTTGTGTAAGGCACACATCCTGCTACGGAGCATATGAGTTCTCATGGGTGTGACAAATAGTGGCAGGTGTGCTACAATTTGGCAAACATCAAAATGTTCCTTCCTGGCTGAGCATGTTGGCAGGCATTTATGATGCCAGCACTTAGGAGGCTGAAGCAGGACAATTGCCTGGAGTTTGAGACTCAACCTGGCTACAGAGACCCAGCCTAAGAAAAAACAAACAAACAAACAAACAAAAAGTTCCATTCTGCACATGTGGCAGGGGTTAATTTCCATTTTTCTCCCACTGAACATAGACTTTGTCATCTTATCTGCATCAGTCCTGCATCTCAAACATCTAGGATGATAAAAGAACATCCTTGAGTTTGACATTCATGCAACCATCATCACAAATGTACACATTAACATGGTTGAAGGTTTGCAAGAGGTTGGATGAAAAAGACCATCACCTCTCAAAGTACAGGGGATGAGCCAGGAGTAATTCGACACACCTATAATCCCAGCACTCAGGAGCCTGAGGCAGGAAGATCACCTCAGATTCTGGCCTACATAGCAAGACTGTCTTAACAAACAAACAAAACAAAAGCACAGAGTAAAGACACATGAACCAACAGCTTAACTTTGCTCCTCAAAAGCAGTGGCCCTCAGAATGTTCCTGAGTGTCTTCATCACTTAGAAAGCTGGTCCTGGGGCCCCAATGTGGCCCTCCTCACTCCACAGGTCTGGGGCTGAGGCAGAGAATTTGCATTTCAAACATGTTGCTATTCACCATTCCGAAGAACTGGGAACATGTGTTCATCATGGAAAACAAGAATTGCTTTGACATGCAAATCGGATATCCTAGTCGACAGTGCTCTAGGAGGACCCGGCAAATGAAAAGGGAACAAATGTAATGGTGTAAACTCTGGTTCTGCTGATTACAGGTCCGATTTTTACTAAGATTGTTTGAACCACATAAGCCTTAATCTACTGGTTAGCAGAATGGGGATAAGAAAAATATCCCATGGGCTAATTATGAAAATTAAAATCACACACGCACGCACACAGTGTGTGGCTGAGACGGAGATTAGAGTGGGGCAATCTGCTTGGACAAGTGGGTGTGGCCTGTCAATCACAAAGACCCAGGGTACAGGCCCAGAACGCAGTTCCTCGACCAATCAGAAGTGCTCTCTTCCATTCTACATTTACCGCTGGTGGAGACCAGTGTGCTTCGCTAGGGTGCAGAGATTCGCTTCCAGTAAGGACCTGAGCTGCAAAGCGCTGCTGCAGCCTCCGTGGCTTCGTCTTGCCCTGCAGTGCGAACTCCTTTTCCTACTTTAATAAATGTCAACCCTCACTCCCGTTTTCATGTGTTTTATATGTGTTTTATCCAATTCTTTGTTCAGGATAAGTACATGGAGTGACTATCTGGGACCCCAACAGCTGGTAACAAGTCCTTCATCCTTTTCTTCAATCCTGGTAGGGCTGGCACTTCGAGCAACAAAGTGAAATCACAGGCTCATAAAGTAAATGTATCTCATGCAAATTTTGCGGGACACCGGAGCCTTCATAAAGAAATGCATATGAAGAGGGCGAAGCAGAGCGTCTGTGAGCTAGGTTTGAGGGAGAGTAAAGTCATGAGAACAGGGAGAATAGCAGGCCCCATCCCGACTTCTTTTGCATCCCTGTCTACAGATAGGAGGGTGCTTCCACTTCCAGATGTAGGCAGAACACCTCTGCCCTGAGGGTCTTAAAACCTGCTTCAGTTGGGGATGGAGGCGCACGCTGTAATCCCTGCACTCTGGGAGGCTGAGGCAGGAGGGTTATATAGAGACTCCTTTCCCATCCATGTCAAGGTCTGGAAAGTTTATATTTGTAATTCCATGGAGAAGTTATTGGAATTCTAACAAGTTAATTCCAATCTACCACTTCCAGTGCAACCCAAGACAAAAATAAAGACACTAAGCCGAGGGGCCCTAAGTCCAGCCAGGGTGAAGATTCACTGGAACAAAGGCCACAACTTAGGGCCCAATTGGAGTTTTAATTGTGCATGAGGGGAGTGGCTTGGAATAAGTGATAGTGAGAGAGGCAGGAAATATATAAGAGCTGTGAGTTGGGCTAAGAAGCCTGAGATCAGCCCTGCGCTGTGCAGAGGGAAAGAAATGCAGAGAACAATCTGCATAACGCACGAGGCAGTAGCTAAGGTTTGGGGGCGGGGCTTCAGCTCGGACATAGTCTTTCTGCACTAGGAAGTCATAGCTCTTATCTCAAGGAGGCTGTTTCCAGGTGATGGCGTGGAGTGGTGGCTCTTCATCCCACATGGCTCAGCCCTGTTTTTCAGGAGTCACTGAGCAGGAAAAGTGACTGTCACCTAGCTTCAAAGATTAAGCATCAGCACCTCAGCCAGCCCTATTTACATTGCTTAGAGCCAAGTGAAGAGATAAAGAAATGGCCCAGCCAGCTCTGTACGTATCGGTACATGGAGACAGGGCCAGGTTTAGCCAAGTGGAGAGAACTGCTCTACTTTCAAGGACAGTCGTCCAGGTGGTTCCCTAAACAGGGTCGAACATTCCAGCCCAGCCTGGGCAATCTAGTACGACTCTGTCTCAAAATTTAAAAGTAAAAGAGGCTAAAAATGTAGCTCAGTGCAAAGATGTGGGGTTCAATCCTCAGTATCAAAGTTAAAAAAAAAAAGAGAGAGAGAGAAAAGAAAAAAGCCGCTTCAGGGGAAGGTGAGAGAAGCTGCCCTATCCCTGTCACTTCCCAAATTCCTTCAGCTAGTGATATTGTTCAGGTAAACCGAGGCACAGCTGAGACCACCGAGACAGGCAAGGTTTTAGCAACATGGGAGAACTTTATTGCAAACCGGGTGCGGCTGGGCGAAGGGCGAAAGCCCACTGGCCCCAGCCAGGGACGAGCGCGCATCTCACAGGGAGTTTAGGTAGGGGAGCAAGTATTGCAAAACCCAGGGCCTGAAGCATTGTGGCAGTCCCGGGGCTGGCATGCAGGATGTCCTTTGTGCAGGGCGGCCGGTGAATGTAGCTGTTTTTCTCGTATCTGCGACTTTCTGCTCTGCTAGCCGATTTTCTTATTGAGAAACTTGGGGAGTGAGTTCTCCTGTTGTGCGAGTCCCCGGAGCCTCCACCTCGTGCAGCAGGCAAGCTCGGAAGACCTAGGCCTCCCAGGTGCACCCGGCTGCTCAAATCCTGCCCGCAGCGCCTCCAGGCCGCGCAGCAGCTCTGCGCCTGCGCACTGGGGCCCGCGTGGGGCGCCCAGTGGCTGCGCGAGTGGAGGATACTCCCTCCCCGGGCCGCTGGCTCTCCGAGTGCCTAGGAGGTGAGCGCCTAGGAGGTGAGCGAAGGCCTGGCAGGAGCCGCATGGTGATGTGGGTCTCCCTATTCCTGGGAAGACTGAATCTCGAGGAAAAGTTTTAAATAACACAGTGTTTTTAGTACTGGTTTCGAACCCACGGCATCTGCACTCAGCTTCATCCCCCACCCTTGTGCCCTTTTAAAGAAATCTGAGAAGGTCTCAGTAAGTCAAGTGTCCCAGCTAAGGCTAGGCTCGAACTTGTGATCTTTCTGCCTCGGCCTCCTAGGATGCCGGGATTGCAGGTGTGCACTATTCCCTTCGCCGTGAGTCTTGTGTTTATTGCACAGAAATCCTTCCTTTTATCTGTAACGAGGAATCAGCCGTTACCAACAGACATGAAGCTTGAACGCCACATTTGCTTGCAATTAAGGAGTAAAGAAATTCAAACGCAAAAAATGAAAACCAAAGTCTGGTTTTGGGTCCCCGGGTCCCCGCGAAGTCTGCCGGCAGGGGGCGCTGCGGCGCAACAGAGGAGTAGAGAGGCGGGGCGTGGGGTGGGCGGCACCGGGAGGACGGGGCGGGGCAAGGCCAAGAGGGGCGGGGCCTGGAGGTGTCCTACGCCACGGGGCCGACGGAGCTCGGGGCTCGCAACTGTGGTTCCGGGCCGACCGGCGACGCAGGCACGCTGCTTCCTCTTCTTCTTCCTTTTCCTCTCGCGCCGCCCGCCGGCCCCGCCTCCTTGTCCCTCCGCCCACCCTTCCGGGGCGCAGTCGCGTCGCCGCCGCCCGCCGAGCGGACATGTCGGCCCCCTCCGGGTCCCCTCACGCGACCGCCGGCGCCCGCACCCCTCCCCGGCCCGGCGTGGCCGTGGCTCCCGCAGCCCTCGCGTCCTCGGGCCCGGCGCCGGCACGGCAAAACGGTGAGCGCGTGGCCTAGAGCGGCAGCAGGGGCAGGCGGCCGGGGTGGGTGGGCTCCTGAGGGCCGGCGGGGTCGGGACCGGGGCCAGGGCGCGGGGAGGCCCCACAGGCCGCGTCGCGAGCCTCGCCGGGCCTGGTCGTCCGCCCCGACCCCATCCCAGCAGGACCGCGGGCCCGGCGAGCTCGCCCCGCGGGACTGAAGTTCGCACGCAAGTTAGTGGCCAAAAGGGTGCGGATAGGTGCGCCCCGAGAGGGAGACGTGACCCCGACCTGCCTGGCCTGCGAGGCTGTGGTCGCTGCGAGGCTGTGCGGCTGTCGGGAGTTCGCTGTCAGGGCTTGAAAGGCGCCAGGTGTCACGACGGGCGTAGAGGAACGCCCTCGGGCCGGTGGGTCGAGTGGTTTGGGTTTGATTTCTCTTGGCCCCCACTTTCTGAAATAGAAAAGGGGCGGTTGGTTGGCCCAGGTCGCAGGCGAGGCCTCCGTGGGGCAGCCGCTACCAGCGCAGTAGGAGAGCTGCTCTCCTACTAAGGCGGTGGGCTTTGAGAATCCAGCAGTTTCAGCTGAAAAAATGAAGGCTCTGGGACATCGGTTTCCTAATCTTGAGGCTGGGAGTGTTCATAGATGGGGGTGGGGCGGGAGAACTCCGTAGAGACTTGATAGGATGTCAGAGAGCCTTGGAAAGTAATTGCTGGATTCAGAAAAATGTCTGTCTGGTGCTGGTGGTGGGAGAACAAAGATGCACTACTGGGCTTCTGAGATTGACCCATTTTATCCAGTTCGTCAAGGAAAATTTATCAGCAACATCTTGAGTTCAGCAGTTGAAGGCTTTTCAAACATAAACGCCGTGGTTCCTTCTGAGAAGCAGAGATTGAAATCTCTCATAATCGAAAGTGAGGCCTAAACTAAACTGTGGCAGCCATTGGCTCAGCCGTACTCGTCGATATGACATGTTTTACCTCCAAAAGTCATTGTTTACTCTGAAGGGATCCTAACGTCTTGTTAGCGTATACGTGTTCCGAATGGTTGTAAAAATGGTGTTTCTGAGCAGTTTCTGTTCTTGTAACAACACAAATTTTTGTTTTTGTTTTGACAGTTTTGTGTGGGAAGCAAGTAGAACCTGGTGGTGTAGGAACAGGCCCCACATATTAGAACCCTGTAAAGCCATAGCTAGGAGTGAGTGATTCGAGGACTGTGTCTTCCTTTGATTTGTTTGAGGATGCATTATCAGTCTGAATGGACAATTTTTAAAGTTTCGAATATTTACATTAGCTCTAAAAATTTTTGTGAGCATTCAAAAGATGCCAGGATATTTGCTTAGCCAAATTGGATGTTAAATTTGGAAGAACAAATCACTACTTTGATGCCAAATACAGAAAATGCTTGCTTTCTGCTGTTTGTTATAATTTCTTTAAAGTTGCTACCGTATCAACATTTGGTGCCTGCTTACTAGTTAAGTCCTCTGAGTTAGTATAGTAAACAGATCCCTCCTCCCTCCTTGACTTGTGTTTCAAATTGGTTGTGCCTGGCCTGAGAGGGATTTGACAGGTTGAGGTGGGAGCGTAGGGCGGTTTGCAGAAAGAGATTGCAGCCCACAGAAGTCACATTAAGTGTGTGCTTGGCAGGTGTGGGCCGGAGAGAGACAGTCTTCCAGAGCATCCAGGCGACAGAGAAGGTGAAGGTAGGGACATCCCAGGGCAGTTAGGCAAGGCCAAGGTGCAGAAGGATTTGGAAATACAGAGCTTAGGTCAGGTTTGGTGTCCTTTCTGTGGAAGGGATTAGTGTAAGTAGAAAAACAAGATCAGATCTGTTTCTGTCTCATACGCTGATTTTGGGGGGAAAATGATAAAGATTAGGAAGCAGTCATTTGAGTTTTTTGATTTATTTTTTAAGCCTACATAAACTACTTCGCTATTTAATAGAGCTCTGTGGAATTCCAGGTATAGTGAAAAAGAAATAGGTCAGAAGTACGAGTATAAAATATCACAGGACACCACGCATGTGCCTGTAATCCTCGCACTGGAGGTTGAATGAAGCAGGAGGATTGCCACCAGTTCAAGAATAGCTTGGGCTACAAAGTAAGTTCAAGGCCAGCCTGGAGAACATAGCAGATCCGTCACCGCCCCCACCAAACCCCTCAGAATCACAGAAGACAAAATGAGATTATTTATTTCTTTAGTGTACGGTGTATAAGTCTCTGTACCAGGTTGGATGACATTATGAGCAACTGGGTCACAGCCGAGTTTATGCTAATGAGGTGGTTTGGAGTACCCAGAGCTGGTCTCAGGACAGGACTGATCTCTAAGATTGAGGGTGGGAACTTTCAGTCCCTGGCTACCATTTTCCAGGCGTAGGGTACAGTTGGGTACCTCTTAAGCCCTCGATCCAATGAGCTGGGCTGCTGCTGGTGCTGCCAGGCTGCCACTCTTCCCCACCCTTGCTCTGTGCCTCAGTTCTGTGTGGCTCTCATCGTTCCCTCCTTTGACCTTTCATTGTAAGCCAACATGTTTGCCCCAGCTTGGTAAGCCCTCCCCCTTGGCAGATCGTTGATCTAAAGAAGGGGCCGGGGAACTTTAATTTCTGCCAGCTGGGTAGAAGTATAGGCGACAGCCCACATCTTGTGATGAGCCTCTGAGATAGGCAGAGTAGGCTGTGCCCTCATCTGTGGGTCTGACATCCCTTCAGGTAGGCCGGGAGTGTGGGCCCCATTAGAGCACATCCATTGGTGTCCATTGGAGGAGAACTCCAAATCTGATCCATCCCTAAGTTACCTGTGAAGAGCAAGAGTATTTTTTTTTTTTTACAAGAACCATTATGGACAGTTTAAAAACATTGTTTTTCCACAGGAAATTATAGATAAGAGAAATCAGAAAAAAGACAAAAGTGGGTATGTTTCAGATACAGGTGGAGGTCCTATAGTTTTTGGAGCACAGTCTGAAAAACATCTGGTCCAATTTTCTTAATGTTATAGATGAAATCATCAGGAAGGCTAAGTAGGAACAGTTTTACCATTTCCTGTGTGAACGTGGAGTGAGGGCAGTTTTATGTCTTCTGTTTATTGCTGTGTATTCAGGCTAGAGATAGCACTGGGCAAGTTACAGGTATCACACATCTGTTAAATAAGTCTACTCCTTTCTCCAAATTTCAAGTCTACAGCTTTTATTAACAGACTAGAAAGTTCATTTTAGAAACTTAGATGTTGTTTGGGAAGGGTAGGCAGTACAGAGGTAGAAGACAGTTTTTATTATCATTTTTACTTGTTTCCTAAGTTTAACTTCTAATATGCTTTCTCTCCACTTATTTGAAGATGATTTAACTTTATCAAGCCTCCTTTTTTGGGGTTATTTCTGTACTTAACTTTTTCATTGAGCAGCATAGGGACTTGTACGTTTACTTGTATTACTTTCGTCTGTTTGTTGAGTATTTTTCATCTTTTATTCTGCCTTTTGAGACTCCTTCCAAAGCCAAGTTCTGAAGATTGAGTAATGAGCTTGTAGTGTAGTGATATAACTCCAAGTGGTTCCCAATTGATTGATACCCAGATTTAACTGTATACACTTGCTTCTTTTATTTCACTCTCAGGCAACAAATGGCATTCAGTTTCAAATAAGAAAGTGTTTTCTTGCTTTCATATGCCCTTTCCAGCAGTGGTAGTACTGGCAGTTTTGTTAAGTGCCAAAATGCAAGCAAGATGAAAGACTATGGGAATTAATTTACTGGAATTTACTGTGAAAGGTATAAGCAGACTAGCCTTGCGCGCCGCAGTGCTGCTTGGGCTGTCAGTCACAGGAGGTCTTTGAACTGAGCACCTGCAGAATTTACGGCCAGTGTGTGTGATGTGAGTTCCTTTTGACCTGAGCAGTGTGTGTCTCAGGTTTCTAATCTTCCTGATGGCAAACTGGAAATGGAAGCTCAGGTTCTCTTGCGGATGGATAGCACCACAGCATTGGTGTTGCTGTCTGCATACGTTTGTTTCCTTGGAGATGATTAATAGACACCTCACAGATGGTAAACCAGTACTCACTCCACGGGTTTATTTTCAGTCCATTGCGTGTGTTGCTTTAGTTATTGGTGGTCTTCTCACCCCCACCCCCAGGTTTTGGAGATTAAAGCTGTAACAATTTTTGCACTGAGACACTGAAATGGAGCAGTTTTGGAGCTGGTCTTCAATGGACTTCCCTAGAAGTGAGGCCTCTTGCCTGGTTCTGTTCAGTCCTGGAGAAGCCACTGTTTGCAATAGGCCACTCCTGTGCAGAGTTGTCCAGAAGGTGTGGACTGGTGAAAGGCTATTGGGTTTTGGTTTTGCCCATTTCCCCCAGTCCTGGAGATCAAACCCAGATCATCCCCACTGAGCTACATCCCTTATCCAGCCCCAGTTTTGAATTCTTACTTTTTATTTATTTATGAACTCAGATCCTTTGTTCTTAGCTGTGTATATCCCTCCCCCCTCCTGTTTTTTTTTTTTGTTTTTTGTTTTTTGCCATTTTGAGACAGTAACATTAGTGAGCTTAGGGCAGTGGTGGTGAACCTTTTAGAGCTATCAGTGATAGAAACAGCCTGTGTGGCACATGTGACATAGGTGGCCCACCACTGGCTTAGGATGTGATGGTATCTTCGTTGTAGAGTTCCTGGGAAGATTACATTAAAAGCAGTACTGATTTTAAACTCTCTGGTCCTGGTAGGGGCTTAGCAGTGAGAGTTCCCTTTAGTCCATTTCTTTCACAACACCAAGGTATAAATTCTTTGAATGGCAGGGTTTTTTGTTTGTTTTTGAGACAGGATTTCACTGTGCAGTTCAGGTGTCCTTGAACTCATGGTGGAGCCCAGGCTGGCCTTAAACTTGCAGTATCCTCATGCCTCATCATGCCAGATTGTCTGCATTGTATTCCCGGCAGCAGCATGCAGTCAGCACTAAGTTGAGTATGTGAACTTGGCGTCATATTTCCATTGCTTTTGAAGACTGGCCACTAACACGAATGTATCTGTTTATTGTATTGAAGTCTTA